AAATATAGTTTTAAAAAATAATTATAAAAATTATGACTAATTAACGTTATAATAAATATAATCATATTTATGCTATGAGTTAATTGCATCACATGTTCTTCAATCATGACCCTCATTCCAAATTGGTCCCTAAATTTTTAAATATTATAATTTCATCCCTAAACTATGACTATCATTCTAGATTAGTCCTCAAAATTTTGGACATTTTAGTTTCATCCCAAACTATAATCTTCATTCTAAATTGGTTCCCAAACTTTTTGAACTATCAATTTCGTCCCAAATTATATGTATATACTAATCACATCCATTGTTAATAAAATTATTAGGTCAAGTTATATTATTGTATGTTTGAAAAAAATAGGTTCAACTATGGTTGAAACTAATTGCATATTTGGATGAATTTATGGTTGAAATTGGAAGATTAAAAAGTTTGGAGACCAATTTAGAATAAGAGTCATGGTTTGAGGAAGAAATTAGAATGTTCAAAAGTTTAAGGACTAATTTAGAATAAGAGTCATGGTTTGGGGATGAAGTTAGAATGTTTAAAAGTTTAAGGATCAATTTAAAATGAGGATCATAGTTTAGGGACATATGATACAATTAACTCTTAGGATGTGTTTGGTTGGGGGAATGTGAGATTCCCATGGGAATGGAATCTACATTCCCCCGTTTGGTAATCTTACATTACCAATAGTATATTTTTTAGGGTATATTACCGGGAATGTCACTACCTCCCTTTCCTTAGGTATTGTTGGATTACCGGCGTTTTGGACTAAAATACCCTTAAAAAAATTTCTTTCAAAAATATCATTAATTTGTCATTGAATAATAAAAATTCTACGAAAGTTAATTACAAATTTATCCTTAAACTATTTTAGATTTACAAAAAAAATCTATAATTAAAATTTTATATGAAGTTCAGGGGTTAAAATAAAATTTTACCCTTTCATTAAACCTTTTTATATTTTCAATTTTGTAAAAAAAATTATATAAATTTTATGAATTTAAAATTTTTAAAGAAAATATATAAATTTTTTTCAACTTGTTAAAAAAACAAATATATAATAATGACAATTTGGTCAAATATACATTCTAATAATCTTTTATTCCTTTAACCAAACACGATAATCTTACATTCCTGCTAAACCAACCAAACACAAAATACAACATTCTCAGTAATCCTATTCCCTGATAATCTTTTATTCCCACTGGAATCTTACATTCTGTGAACCAAACGCACCCTTAGGGGCGTTTGGATAGGGGAATGTGGGATTCCCATAGGAATGTAATAATTTTTTATTTTTTTATTTTTTATTTTTTAATAATTTTAAAGAAAAACAAAATTAAGCACATTATGTGTTACAACATTAATACAATTAACAATCGTTCATGTATTTATCAATTAATGAAATTTTAAGAATGTATTTAATTATAAATTTTCAAATAAGAACTCATTTAAGAATGTATTTTATCACCAACCAAATAGTTTTTGTGTTAAAAGAATTGTTATTTCTTGAGGAACTGGGTATGAGTATTATAGATGTCAAGGGTGTAAGCGTTCAATTTCGAGAGGTTTAGAGTTATTTTTGAACACATATTGCCTTATAGTTACCCTAGGTTAATATATATATAGGTAAAAATTTAATTTTTTAGATAAAACTACGATGACCTATTAATAATTTAAATTATTTTTTATTGATATTAAAAAATAAAAATACATCTATTTAAATATTATTTGAATATTTTGACGGTTTAATATAAAAATAAATGTTACAAGCGTTTTAATTTTAAGTGTCCCGACCATAACACCTTTAAAAAATTTCGTTAAGCGACATGTGTCACATTCTTATAATTTAGAAAAAAATTTATTTTAAATACAAAAACTAAAAAATATAACATCTTTTAAAAAATACCAATTTTTTAAAAAATCTTAAAAAAACCTTCAAAACTTTAAAATCCTTTATTCCAATCCTTATACCTCGTCGACCACTGTCATTTATCACCGTTATCGTCTACCAAATCCAGTGACGAATCTAGAATTTTTGTTAAGTGACATGGATAATAGTTTATGGGTGGGCACATTCCCACTATAGCATCAAATAAATCCTCTACTGATCAAACTTCTACCGATGACACAGCCATACAACAATATAACCACCGTAACTAATCTTTGAAATTATTTATGTCGCTGTCACCAAATGTTAATATTAAGTAAAGGGGGATTGTTAGGACAGGTAGTTACAACGAGAGAGAGAGAGAGAGAGGGAGGGAGACCGGAAGGGAGATCTGAAGGAGAGGAAAGGGGAAGGAGACGGAGATGGAGATACAGATGACGACAGAGATTTTAAAAAAAATATATATTTTCTTCAAAATTATCAGAATACGACAATATCATTTATCAAGGTTTTTTTTAACGATCAGAGCACTTAAATGATAATGTTTGTAATATTAGACACATAGATTGATCAAAAAATAAGTTAAACACCTAAATGAAAGAAAACGATTTAATTACATTTATTTTTATATTAAGCCTATTTTAACCTCAAAAACTTTAAAATAATTAAAATCCTAAATCTTAAATATGATGTATAATAAAATTAAAATTTATAAAATATTTTTTACTATAAGTACATTAAATAATTTTTCTTAAAATTTATCCCAATTAAATTATAGAAGTACATCCGATTTAAACGAACCGGTATATGAAGAAGACGGATATTATTCAAGGAAAAGGCAAGAGAAAAGAAAAAACACAGACGAAAAGGAACTTCGTTTTAGGATAAAAAAAAAAGAGCTTGTATTTTTTCATAAGAGGGTCCCCCGATGGAGATCGGAACAAGCGGCGGCGCCCTAGGCGGTGACTATCTATCACCGTCGTCTCCCGCGGCAGTCATATCGCGCTGGACCTTCGAGGTTTCACGGCGGTTCCAACACCTCCTGGACAAGACGGTTCCGCACGTTCTCTACCGTTGGATCGGATGTCTGCTGGTGGTTTTGATCTACGCCGTTCGTGTGTACTTCGTGCAAGGGTTCTACATCATCACCTACGGCCTTGGCATCTACTTGCTGAATCTATTGATGGGATTCCTTTCTCCTCAGGTGGACCCCGAGATGCAGGATGGGCCCTCGCTCCCCACCCGTGGATCGGATGAGTTTCGCCCATTCGTTCGGCGACTACCCGAATTCAAATTCTGGTCTGTTTTAATGACTTTGATTTCATAAAATTGATTGTTATTAATGTTAAATTATGTTTCATTGAGTTGAATGATTAGAGAGATTTTTGTGTGATTGAAACTTGCTGGATGAAAGATTGTCTCCTTTTCTAATAGTATTCCTAATTTTAGGATAATTCAATTTATTACTGATGATAAATAATAATGTGCAAGCCATTGTGAGCGAAGAAAATAATGTTGGAAGTTTTTATCATTGCTGATAAATGAAGAGATCATGAATTCTTATTATAAAATGAAAAATAGAAGGATTTGGAATCAAGTATTTCCAGTTATAAGCCACATTCTGAAATCTGAACTTGTCAAATTGGCAGTCCCCCCACCTCCCTCTTATTTCTTGCCACTAATTGTTACCCTAATTTCATATAGGTAGTGAACACAAGTATATTAAGCTTTTCTATAGATTTAGAGGATTATACCTTCGTACCTATGTTTGAATATGTGTCAAAAATAAGTGTATGGATGACATATCTCTTGAATGTCAATGCTCATATATTGGAAGTCAATGAGAGTAACTAGAAATTTCTATTTTTCCTTCCATTTCCAAGGTACATGTCAATTGGAGCTTGGTATTTTAATATAGCCTTTATCACATATTCATACTTGCTGCTGGTTGGTGTCTGTGTGTAGAAACTTTTGTTGTAAAGTGTTCTTTTCCAGGGGAAGCCTTACCATGTTATGGAACTAATGGAAAATCCAGGTCAATGAGTCCAGTTTGATTCTTTGACTTTAAGGGTTCCTAATAACATAGTGTGCTATGCTCTAGTTAAATCCTTTTTGAACTTGATGTGAAATATAGATTGGGAGAAACAAGCAGCTTTTTTTTTCTCGACTCTCTTGTTCTTTGTCTATAGTTTTATATAGGGTGCCATAATAGGGTGCCATAAAACTTAGTTATTGGCTTTCAGAAATATTATGCTGAATGCTAAGATTTTTGTCTATTATGGGGCCCTTTTGTGTTAAGGTACTCAATTACAAAGGCCTTCTGCATTGCATTTGTGATGACATTCTTCAGGGTGTTTGATGTGCCCGTCTTTTGGCCAATACTCCTTTTCTATTGGTTAATGTTATTCATCCTAACAATGAGGAGACAGATACTACACATGATCAAATACAAATATGTTCCTTTCTCCTTCGGGAAACAGGTATTTCTGAATCCATTTTTCCTTGGTATATTCAATTGCATGATTGATTGTATTGTTCTTTGTTTCTTTTGTTAGCGATACGATGGCAAGAAGGCATCTTCAACAGAATGCACGAACGTTCCCAGGGATTAAATTCCTCAGGTATGTATGCGTATATATCTCTGTAGAATTTGCTGGTACTACAAGTGCTCTTAAAGGACCATCAGTTGCACATTGAATGTTTGCTAATTTTCGTTCGCTTTTCACTGAATGTAACTTTCAGATCGACAAAGAAACTTTGTATGGAAGGGGCTTACATTTTTCATCACCTGTAACTTCAATTACAATTATTTTTAATTTAGATAATACCCAATCAAGCAGTGCAGTTGGTTTAAATGAAATTATAGTTTTGAATTGTACTTTTGAACTTGAAGAAATACCCTATTATTAATTCATAACTTTAACGTTTATTTAGATTAAAAGATTGAGATCGGCGATGGGTATACTCTGCTGTCTATTGATTTCATTAGCTGTTTATCTGGATTTTGATCAGCGAATCAAACTGTGCATTGCACCAGTAAATATCCACCCATTTGCGATAATCGTCGGAATGAAAATTTTTATTATTCTTGTTATATCTACCGACTACTGAACACAACTCTATTGTCCCTATTACCCCTATTACAGGATTTATGTATAAATTTGTAAATCGAAGTAAAAAAACACCAACGGCTCGGCTTACATACCTCCTAAATGAAGCAGATAATCAAACACCCCAAGAAACTATAGATAGGTAAAAGGAAACAAAAGAATAGTCGAAAACTCAGGATGAACACAGAAAGATGCTTACCCATATGTACCCAACACCTGATAAGACCATCTGCATTTCCCCCTTGATCAAATTTCTCGGTGCAGCGGTTTCAACTCGGGCATGGCATAGATTCCCAGCTAATGATTTTAGTTTTGTCAAAATCCCGTGCGTCTGTCCGCTCTTGCTTCATCGTGCTTCCTTTTACTTCGACGTTTTGATCTGGATGTTCGTGTCTTTGTAGTATGCATGAGTGTTGGCTCTTGGATGCCTATCACTGGCTTCTCATTAGCAGGGAGTTCAGGGGGAGTATCTGGCCATGGAGTGCGTTTCGACGGAACAGTGATCTCCAAAGGTGGGTCGATTATCCATCTGCAGGGTGTACAAAACAATGAGCAGATGTTACGGAGAGGAGACCAAGGCAGAATAACATTTGAATTCTAAGAAACCAACAAGGTTACTTAGTTTCGGAAATGAATCAGCCACAAGTGAATATTTCACTAACATTTGAAAGAAATTATACTTAATTTGGCATTCATCGCTGCCTCTCCCTAAATTGCTTCCATCAGTATCAGATATTTAAGTTTTTTACTCTAAAATCAGTCTGATAACAATTTTATTATATTATATAACTTTCCACGACTTAAGACCTAATCACGATAATTTAGGAATCACAAACCACCACCATTTTCTAATATCAACCATTCTGATTGTTTTGTGTAGATATGATAATTCACTAACATTAGCAGCATAATACTAATATAAGGAGAATAGCATGAGATATTCACCTAGGAGGGAACTTGCTATCAGCACGAGCTTCAACTCGAAGCCACCAGAGCAGAACCCGACGTCCACAGCTTCCAAGTGGTTCTACCACCGAAGGGACTTTAACCAAACCCAACGGATTCTCAATATCCCCATCCAATGCATCGATATCCTTAATCCAGTCCGGCTTATCTCCGTCTTTCCAGAGCAACCTAGAATTCAAAACAAACCCTGACCACTCCAACATCCTAGGCAGCACGGTCGCTCTATCGTCAATATAAACAGCACTTCTCCCTGCAAAGGGCAACGTATTGAACGTATGCCACCCCGCCAACATATTAGACACGTTACAAGCCGGACCTTGAACCGGCATTGGAGGATTCTCCTCTTCCCCTTTCTTCTGATCCACGGTCTCATCGGTACTAGCCGAGTTAGCAAGTATTCCAACCGAAACTGCCCCGAACCATTTCACATTTTGGATTTCATCAAAAAGTTCCATACTATGCATGTTACTATCATCAGCAAACATTATAATTCCATCCAATTTCTTCTCTCTTATAATTCTGCCCCCAAAATAAACACAACAAATGCAATCAATTATAAATTTCTTACAACATAATTCCAAAAACGCATAAAAAATTAAATAAATTACGGTTACCTTAAAGCACGAAGCCGCATTTTGGATTCCAATTTATGTCGTTGGTCCCAGGAATTCGGCATCCGTTGATTGAACCCGACGTGGATGGTTTTCAAACCGGATTTGGCAATAAGCGACGCCGTTTCGTTGCTGATGCCACCAGCTTCCACAACGATCCATACCAGATCGTAAGGAACCAGCATTAGCGAGTGCATCACACCGGTCAAATGCAGCGCTTGGAAAGTCCGTACATATGTCGGCGTGACCACGATAATCTTCCTGGGATCCTTCACCCCGAATTGCAATCTCTGCTCCGTTTGAACTCTTTCTATAATCTGGTGCGCCTTCATGACCTCGACCGGGTTCGGGTGCGGCCACGGCCGGATCCGGATCCCGTGCCGCCCGACAACCACACGGGAATTAGTAACCGTATTATTAAGCGACGGTAACGGGACGTTGCCGACGGGGTTGGTGGGTAGAAGGGAATGGAAATCTAGCGTTTTGGCCAGTTCGGAAGAGGAGTGAAACGGCGACGTGTATAAGTTGGTGTAGGAAGTGGAGAACAAAAGGAAGACCAAACGAGAGAAACGAAAGCCGAGGACCAAGCTAATTAAGCAAGAGAGACCATGGAGGACGAGCCAGAAAATAGCCGCGGGTGATTTAATGGCGCTGTCGGAAGAAGAATCCAACGGTCCTGATGATCTGAAGCTGTTGCTTCGACGGTTGAGATAGCTCTGTTGTAACACCGAAAGCTTCATTTTTTAGTCAATCCGAAGCTCCGGAGACAGAGAAGAGGAAGAAATGGAGAATTAGGATGAAATTACTTGTCCAAACTTTTGTGGTAGGTTGAATTTGGTGCGTAGGGTGGGGTTTAAGGAGTTGATTAAAGAAAGGGTTTTCTCTTGATTACTTGGAAATTACGGGATGAATTGAATTAGGGGTTGTTTCAGATTACTGCTTTTGATTTGGTGTTTAAATTCCATCTTCTTTGTGTTCATGTTTGATACAGTGGAAAGCGAAGGGAGAGAAACAGAGTTGGAGACACACAGAAAGGCAAACACATTGGCCCATCATTTAGGGCATCAGCTTAGCTTAATGTTTTATTTTGGACAAATTATTTAAAAATAATAATTAACACGTATCAAATTTATTTTAATAATTAAAGAAATATTAATTTTTTTAAAATTTACATGCAAGTATTAAATATTATAATCGAATTTAAATTTTTATTATTAAATGATTAAAAATTTTATAGTAAATACTATTTTATAGTCACCATAGATTAATAAACAAAATATTTATAGAAAAATTCCCTGAATTTTCTTAGTCAATTAATTACGATTTACAGTGGTTCAAATAAAGATGACATAACAAATCTTAATGTCATCAGTAATAAAGAAATTATTGTTATTAAGTCTTGGGTTTGAGCACCATAAATGTCATGGGTACAAGCCTTCAATGTTAAAGGGTTGATATCTATCTTAGAACAAATAATATCTTATACTTACTCAGATTAATAAAAAAATTAGATTTAAAATTTATTGAATATTCCCGTTATATTTTATAATGATTTATTTTATCATATATATATATATATATATATATATATATATATTGATTTTAATTTTATTTATATATTAATAATAACTATTATCATAATTGAAAACATAACTTAAAAAAATTGTAAGTTTAATATTTAAAAGTCAAAATAAATATATCTTAACAAATGTAACCAACTACCTAAATTTCTAAATTTGATAAAAATAAATTAGTATAGTTAATTTTTAGTATTATTTGAAGTATATTATTTGTGAATTTTTATTTTGTAAATAGGATAAAATGACGCTAAATGTTTTATTCGTTTTATTTTTATAATTTTAAATTTGCACAAATAATATTGGACATAATTTTAATTTTATTTATTAGATATTTACTTAGAGTGCTTTAAATAATAATATTTATTAATTATTATTATTTTATACGATTAATATTTTATAATAACAGTACAGAGATTTTGCTAATTTTACACTCAATCAATTTTATTAAGTCTGTTTTATTTTTATTATATTAAAAATTAATTAAATTAGAACCCATTGAACCGTCTTACTATATAATGTTGTTTTCCTTAAATGATTCAAATTCGAACAGTTTAGTTTATCAAATGTATGCGCATTTTCAATAGACTAAGAAAAAATATTAAAAAAATATTACTTTTATCAAAATACAATGATATTGATAATTTGAGGATTGATTTAACATGTTTTAAAATTTAAAGATTAATTTAGAATAAAGTTATAATTTTAAAATTAATATAAAATGATTTAAATTTTAAGTTTCAATTTAAAATAGGAGTCATAGGGCATCTTGGACAGTTAACTCATTAGACTATAATTTATAATAATTTAATAATTTTCGTTATTATTCTAAAAGAACTCATTAAAGAAATTCGTAGTAAAATTTATTTGAATAAACACCTTGTAATGAAACTATACCTGATATTAATTACAAAGAGTTAGCTATATTTCCAAATTTATAATTATTTAATATTTTTTCGTTAATACGCTAATTAATTATGATAACGTTTAGACTATTGTTTATGAAATGACCATCCAGCTCAGTTGGTAGAGCACAAGGTTCTTAATCTTAGGGTCGTGGGATTGAGTCCTACGGAGGGCATTTCATAATTCGGAGGTCTCCTACGGAAGCTGCTCTCAACTTGACGTTGGGGGTAATCTACTATCCTACCTCCTCCTTACCCCATTACATATGGAAATAAGGGTCAGCTAATATTTTTAGACTATTGTTTATCTAATAGAGGTCTTGATATTAATTGGTTTTAATAGTAAAAGAGAATATTATTATTTTTAGATTTATTGAATTCAAATAGTTACGACTATATGATGCATATGTGTTATTAATAGATAAAAAAATTAAATAGAATAGATAATATTTTATAATCACTACATATTATTAAAAACATATTATACCAAATTTGACATTTTTCATATTATTTTATTTTCTCCCGTTGCAATAAGAAATGACAACAATAAATCACTACTCACAGGCATAATGCAATCGTTATGCCGTTAAATGAATAACTTAATTTTATTAATAAAATAAACGTGTTTAGTATATGCCATTAGATAAAACATTAAATAATTCGTTTTATTTTTGTTAAATAATCAGAAAATCTTATATTTAATTATTTTTGTCAAAAAATAAAAACAAGTAATATGAGACTATTTGCTCGCTAATTAGAAAAGGTGGAAGGGTAGAGTAAAAAACAGAGGAGCGGTTTGGTGGGAGGGATCTATTGATTAGCTGAATGGAAGGGTGAGTGACGCCAAATATGTGTAAGCTTTGCAGCATTATTAATTAATTAAATTTAACTTTTTGTTAGCTTGATTATATAACATATATTATATGTTAAATTTAAAAGAATAATAGAATTTATAAAATTTTGAAATATGATATATATTATAGGCCACATAGTACACTTTTAAAGTTGTCGTACCATTTTTTATAATAAAAAATAGATTAGAATGAAACGTATCATGATTGGAAAATTAAAGTTAAACTGAATTTTTTTAAGATATTAAAATGATAATAAATATAATGAATTAAAATTTCATTTAATTCTAATTAATTTATACGGAGGTGATGAGTTAAGATGGCCTAATTGATAGAGACCCAGAAATTAAGGAGATTGGTCTACATTTTTTATATTTTATTAAAGAGAAAATCGTCTCAGTGACCAAAAATACCTTAAAATATACAATTTTAACCAATTTTTTTTGGATTTGCCAAAATGACCAATAAAATCGCAACGCGATTTAGAAAATCGCAACGTTAAAAAGAAAATCGCAACGGTCAAAAGAAAATCGCAACGCGAGCTTCCAAGTTCGCAACGCGATTTAGAAGAAAATCGCAATGCGATTGATAGAATCGCAATGCGATTTATAGAATCGCAATGCGATTGAGAGAGTCGCAACGCGATTTAGAAGAAAATCGCAATGCGACTGAGAGAATCGCAATGCGATTTATAGAATTGCAATGCGATTGAGAGAATCGCAACGCGATTTAGAAAGTCGCAACGTTAAAAAGATAGTTAAAAGATTTTTGTTTCTTAAGAATTTTCTCTAAAAAGATAGTATCCGCGCGGACGTGTCGAAGACACGTATTACCACGACCACGACCACGACCACGACCACGACCACGACCACGACCACGACCCGACCCGACCCGACCCGAGACGAGACGGCGGCGGCGGCGGCGCACGAGAGTCCCCCTTGTCCTCTTTCACTCAACAAGGAAGTGCAAAATACAAGCCTTAAATATAATTCCCAATAGTGTTTCCAATACTATGTGGGATTGAGCATTACCAACACTTGTTCCCAATATCATTATTCTTCATAAGTTATCATCCATTACAATATGAATTATCGATAATAAATTAATTCATTTTAATAAGTATTTAAAATTATAACTTGATAAATACATGAAATAATTCTATTATTAAATAAAAATATATTTTTATATTAAAATTATTGAGATAGATATTTACTATAAAAGTAAAAGATTTTTTTTTCACGTACAACCTCTATGTGAATTAGTTTCACAATAAGGTATCGGTTATGCATTGGATTCTTTCGTATTAGATGGTCTTTAATAAGATCATCATCATCATTCTTTTGTTCAACAATACCATATATTAATGAGGTATATTGGTTCATTAACACGACTAATTCATATTGTAATGGATGATAACTTATGAAGAATAATGATATTTGGAACAAGTGTTGGTAATGCTCAATCCCACATAGTATTGGAAATACTATTGGGAATGGTATTTAAGGCTTGTATTTTGCACTTCCTTGTTGAGTGAAAGAGGACAAGGGGGACTCTCGCGCGCCGCCGCCGCCGCCGTCTCGTCTCGGGTCGGGTCGTGGTCGTGGTCGTGGTCGTGGTAATACGTGTCTTCGACACGTCCGCGCGGATACTATCTTTTTAGAGAAAATTCTTAAGAAACAAAAATCTTTTAACTATCTTTTTAACGTTGCGATTCTATAAATCGCATTGCGCTTCTCTCAGTCGCATTGCGATTTTCTTCTAAATCGCGTTGCGACTCTCTCAATCGCATTGCGATTATATAAATCGCATTGCGATTCTATCAATCGCATTGCGATTTTCTTCTAAATCGCGTTGCGAACTTGGAAGCTCGCGTTGCGATTTTCTTTTGACCGTTGCGATTTTCTTTTTAACGTTGCGATTTTCTAAATCGCGTTGCGATTTTCTAAATCGCGTTGCGATTTTGATATCGCGTTGCGATTTTATTGGACATTTTGGCAAATCCAAAAAAAGTTGGTTAAAATCGTATATTATAAGGTATTTTTGGTCACTGAGGCGATTTTCTCTTTATTAAATATACATACTAATTTAATATTTTCTGGAAATACTAATATGAGAATCTACATACTTTGTTTTACGAGCTTGAAGAATATGTTGGTAAATGGTAAATGTAATATGTTGATGAATATGTTCATATACACTAAATGAATTAAACGTGAACATCTTGAAAAAAATAAACAAATGAACATAAATACGATATTAAAAATTTAAACTAATATGAATCGAACACGAACAAGTTTAAAAATAAACAAATGAATTTGAACATAATCTTATTCGTTCAGATTAAATTCATTTATATCCCTATTTATAATTGTGTTTGTCAAGAGTAACAAAGCTACAACACAAGAGTAAAGAACAAGATAAGAGAGAATAGGCTCTCTAAACCTTTTAACAATAAATCATACATTTGTTGTTACAACTAAGCTTATTTATAGCTCTATGAACACACGTATAACCAACTATAACAGAAGTCTAACAGTTTCATAACTGAAGCTTAACAACCTAGCACTAACTAACTCATGCTAAATCACTCATAACCGAATGAGAACCTATTACATTCACCCGTCTTTTTCATTTCCATCAAGCCTCAACATTCCCAATGCTTTCTGAACTTCTAAACAGCAAATTGATTAAAGATCAACATTCTCC